ACAAAAACAAAGAGAAACCCCACCAACTGGGAGAACATTTTTGCACCCAACACTAATGATAAAGGACTGATCACAAAAATCTGCAAAGAGCTGATGAGACTCAGCAACAACAAAGAAAATAATCCAGTCAAAAAATGGGCAGAAGAGCTAAAAAGAAACTTCTCTGAGGAGGAAATGCAAATGGCCAACAGACATATGAAAAAATGTTCAACATCACTTGTAATCAGGGAAATGCAAATCAAAACTACCATGAGATACCATCTCACACCAGTGAGAATGGCACATATTAAAAAAACTAGCAACAACAAATGTTGGCGAGGATGTGGAGAAAAAGGAACTCTTGTGCACTGTTGGTGGGAGTGCAAACTGGTCCAACCACTATGGAGAGCTGTGTGGAGATTTCTGGACCTACTAAACATAGAGCTTCCATATGATCCAGCAATTCCACTCCTAGGTATTTACCCAAAGGACACAGAAACATCAATTCCAAAGAGCACCTGCACTCCTATGTTTATAGCAGCACTGTTTACAATAGCTAAGCTTTGGAAACAACCCAAATGCCCAAAAATAGATGACTGGATCAAGAAGATGTGGTACATATATACCATGGAATATTACTCAGCATTCAAAAAAGATAAACACATGCAATTTGCAGCAACATGGATGGCACTGGAAGGGATCATGCTCAGTGAAATAAGCCAAAAAGAAAAAGAAAAATACCGGATGGTCTCACTCATAGCAGGAATCTAGAAAACTTAAATAAGGGACCAGGAAAATGAATATAAGAAAGTGAAAATCAAAATCAACAAAAAACTATGAACCAGAGACACTTTTTGGGGGGTGGGGGTGGGAGGGGAAGGATTGGGGTCAGAATGGGGCGTTTGCAATTGTATGGGGGAATATAAAAATAAAATTTAATATTTAAAAAAAAAAAAAAAAAAAGATAAAAGCTGCCATGGTCACCTCCCCATGGGTCTCACCCACATCTGTGTAAAAAAAAAAAAAAAAAAAAAGGAGGTGGACTTCCCTTCAATTAAAAAAATAATTAAAATTATCTAAAATGGAAAGGGCTGTAATGCAAGATGGTATTTAGTTTATACAGCAGGTCCTTGAGTCACATCATTTTGTTCAGTGGATTTTGTTATGACATTGATGAGAAAAAAATAAATCTTACTGACATTGAACAAAAAAAAAAAAAAAAAAAAATAGAGAATCACATGAGATTTTTCTTCACATCTCAGTTGATAATACAATTATATTTTTCACTTATAGAACTGTGTTTTAGAGACTTGTTGTATTTCCTTTTATACTTCTAAAATATCTGTAAACATTTTGTATACAAACAAAAAATGTTTTATTATTATTTGTTGTAGAAAATTAGTGAATAATGGTTTTTATGTATTTTTTTTATGGTCTTGAGTCACATTATAACCAATTAGAGTTTATTTATTTATTTATATCTCAATGAAGACATTAGACACATTTCTTAAAAAGATTTATTTTTTAATACCGGATGGTCTCACTCATAGCAGGAATCTGGAAAACTTAAATAAGGGACCAGGAAAATGAATAACTATAAGAAAGTGAAAATCAAAATCAACAAAAAACTATGAACCAGAGACACTCTTTGGGGGTGTGGGGGGGAGGGGAGGGATTGGGGTCAAAATAAGGGGGTTGCAATTGTATGGGGAATATAAAAATAAAATTTATTTTAAAAAAAGAAAAAAAAAAAAAGATTTGTGTTTGCTTTTCCCATTTGTCTTGAGACACTACCAACCTAAATTTATAAATTTATTTGTATTTAATTCTCTACTCCAGATTTTTGGAAGCACAGAGGTAGTGTGATTTCAGATGACAAACCAAAGTAGGGGATGAATTTTTATAGGGAGACAAATTTCCAGAATTTTCCTTCCATCAAATGCCACAGTTGAGACAAATTTCCTAGCTCTTCCCTTCTGCAGCTTGCAATTGTTTTTCTCAATTACCCTTACACTAAAAGTGTAGACCTTTGAATATCCAGGTTTATGCAGCAGTTTCTTCCTCGAATCCCCATCATAGGCATATTCTGGGTTTATCTCCTGGCACTTACATTTAATATATTTGTCCAGCCTGTCTCTAGTATTTGGCAGTGGAATTTAGGAAAAAGCCAATTTGCTTGTCTCCCAGTATTCTGGATATTACATTTTTTACATTCATGCCAGTTCAACAATGAGTTAGAAAATATTTTTTAAAATTTCTTTCAGCATTTTAATTTTTTTAGGAAGATTGTTCATGGTAACTATAGTAAAGAGCACTAACCCAGTTTTATGCTGAAAAACCAAAGTCTCTGATTAATTTATAATGAGCAAATAATCATACATTCAGACATGCAAATAATATTTATATTTTTAAATTAATTTTTTTTCAATCTCATAGAGTTCTTTTTCAGAAGAGGAGTCCACTCCCTTAAAAGTTTGAAAACTCCCTCTTCTAATCACAAAGTATAATGCTTTCTCCTTATGATGCTGCCAAGTCTACTCAATAGCTAGGTCATCACTGATAGCATATGCACTGAGTGTCAATCTCACTCTTCCTTACACAGTCAGATAATCTAAGTGGCATGAATCCATGCCATATTTTCAAACTTTTAATCTTGTTTCCTTAGTAGCATAACCTTTCTACCTAGAAAACTTTAAGCAGAATCCCAGTATTGATAAGCAGTTTCTGCTCTGGGTGTGGGGCTGGGAGTGAGGGTAGGGAGGAAGACCTGAAACCCACTAGGTTTACTTTAACTCTGCATACACATTGAGTTTTCATACTCTGAAATTTTATGATATTTATAATTTGTATATTATTTGTCCAGTTTTACTTAAAAAACATTTTTAAAATAAAAAATGATTTAACTCTAAATATCAGAGTTAGAATAAAGCCAAAGGCCTATGTATTTTTGTCCCATACATTGCTTTCTTCTAGTTATTACTCTGAATCCATAAAGATGAAAACCCCACAAAAAATGTAGCCAAATCCATGGCTTACCTATATTTCAGATGGACCTCAGACTAAGACATGATTCCAGGTTACTGAATTCCCCCTTTTGGATGCCCATCTCTTTCTGTCTGTTGTAAGTTTAGTGCAAAGCAGATGTGGGTACAGGGTTGAAGCATTTTTCAAGGATGGCATCTTTTGGGTGAGCAAGGGTCTGTTGTAGCTGTTGGTATAGAAGCAGGCCAAGAAAGGAGGGAAAGTAGGGACTAAACTAGTTGTACAGGAACACAGGAAAGAGAATCTAAGGGATAGAAAAGCCCTAGCTTTCATACACTTGCTTCATTTTTGAAAGAAAGAAACAGAGCCCTGACCTGTAGGGAGGGGGTAAATTCTGGCTGTAAGCTTAGTAATGGGAGGTCTTTACATCTCTCCTTTTCCAGAAACCACTCAAGACTTGGCCTAACACACAACTGGCTCTCCCAACATGTGAGATAAGAGGAGTGCTGGAGGGGACTAGAAAAACACATTGAACTAAATGATTCAAGATGTTTGGTCACTCTAAGACCACAGAAGGCCAGCTCCTTTAAATATTTTTGAAAAAGCACTGACCCCAGAACAAGAAGATTTACACTATATTAGACTGAATCATGTAACAATATTTGGTAGGTCAAAATGTAGTAGTATCAATTACACACAGTTCAACCCACAGTTACAGTTTCACCACTCAGTGGATCTTTGTGATTGGACAAGTCTCTGCATTTGTCCAATGGATGATATTTTCCTTACCTAGTATGTGGGGTTTTTTTTACAAGGAAAGATAAAAAGTACATAATATTTATTGAGTGCCTGCTATGGATAGTTGCTTGGGAAACTAAGATGACTAAGGTACAACACTTCCTCTCAAGGAACTAGCAGTTTAGCAGAAGAGATAGGAAAACAAATAGTGTTGGCTATGATAAGTAGGTAAGAGATAATTCCTTTTTTTTTTTTTTTTGTAAGAGATAATTCTGCTGGACTGTGGGAAGGCAAAGATTTTAGCATTGGGCTATAAGGTTAAATGGAAGCTTCCTAGTCAAGTAAGAAGAGACATCTGTAGCAAGAGGAACAGCTTGAGCAAAGGTATGGAGCTTGCAAGTACATGGTGAATTGAACAGTAATCAGTCTAGTGGATCTAAAATGTACGTGGTATTGGGTGGGGGAGTTAGGCTAAAAAGATGGAGGGCATAGGTGGCATTAGTTCATGAAAAATAATTGGAGGGCCTCCCTGGTGGCGTATGGGTTAAAGACACAGCACTATCAAGCTATCACTAGTCAGTGCAACATGAGTTCAATTCCGGCCAGGGAGCTAACCCAGGTGGCGCAGCAGACCTCTCCAGTCTCGCCCGCCGCTCACCTCAGCAGTATATTTTGGTCAACCTGTCTGTTCTGCTCCCCACTCTGCTTCTGGTGAATCCTCTCACTCCCCACACCTCTGGCATATAGGCCAGCTCTTGAATACATAAATAAATAAATCCTTAAAAAAAGAAAAATAATTGAGTAAGATTGCATATAGGGAAACTGTTAGACTGTTGGAAAGAATAAAAGTGCTTTACAAATGCTAGGTGTTATTCACTTGAGGATGTAAAAGAAAGTTTCGAAAAGAATCGAAACAACAAATGTTGGTAAGGATGTGGAGGAAAAAGGCATACTCATGCATGAGTGCATGCAAGTTGGTGCAGCCTCTGTGGAAAGCGGACAGAATTTGCAGTGTTTGGGAAACTGAGAGAACTATGATGGGTAGAGCAGAATAGGCAATGGGGAGGATACAATGTGATGGGGTTGAATGGAAAGGGACAGAAGCCAGAGTGACTACATTCTGGAGGCTGTGGCAAGGATCTTAGATTTTATTCAACATACAATGAGGAGGGAGCCTAAGAAGGATTTTAAGTAATATGGGATGTGACTTGGTTTTTAAGTATTGTTCTGACTGCTTTGTAAGGAAGAGATGGATAGTAAGATGGAAGGAACAAACGAAATCAGCCAGGAGTTTGCATTACTTTAAATTCTTTATAGTAGTGGTAGCGGTAATGACAGTGGTGTTATTACAGTGTCTTGGGCATCTTCTGTGGGCCAGATGCTTTACAAACATTTCTTATGATTATGGCCATGATCCTGGTATTTGAGTATGATTGTCTCCATCTAAAAGTGAGAAAAAAGAGGCTCAGAGAGATTAAGAGTTTTGTCAAAGGCCACATAGCTAATAGTACCAGAATCAGCATTTGAAATCAAATCCATCTGATTCTTTCTCTTATTTCATGGGAACTTTGGTAGAATAAGTCAGAATTGAGTTTCTGGGCCTTAAGTCCCATTTACTGTTTTGTTAAGCTTGAATACCCCTACACAGGCAAAGGATCTATGAGGGTACGATGGGACCACACAAACCCAATGTTGAGTACTGGAAAAGATAGCCACACATACCCCACTCCCCCACTCCCCTATACTGGTAGTGGCTTGTAGAAGGGAAAGGAAATAAGAGTATGACTAAGCTTGGTAACACTATATGACTTCATTCTAGGAGATTTTTCAGGGAAACAAAAGGGAGAGAATGATAGGGGAGAGTGTTCACACCTATCCTCTCCTCTCTTGGGTGTAGTGGTTTTACTTCCATCTAGGGATGATCAGAAAACTTGATGTGAAAGGAGAAGTTGACATTTGTGCAACAACAAGCAGCATTCTTCTCACCCAACTTAATCACTTCCTAGTCCCCACTCACTACTATTCTGAAAGTTCCAACATGCCATTTACATGGACCCAGTAGAACATTTCTTCTAGGCAGAGGAAATAGTTTGGTTAATCAATCTATGACTCAAGCCAAATGTCCATAGGAGAGGAAGGGAGGGATGGTATGAGTTCTTAGGGAAACTTTCTCTTCCTTTTTATTAAACTGTTAGTCATTTACATGTCTATATACCTTTGGGATTACATTTTTACTCCTTCATTTGTGCACATGTTTCACTCACCCTCCACCAAACCTCCTGTGCCAATACCGTGTCCCTTTCTTCCCCAATCTCCCTCTCCCTCTCCTCTGTTCCCTCTGGTAACCACTAAGCCTAAGATTTGTTTTTGCTGTATTTTACCAGTATATGCTTTTTGGTTACTTTTATTTTTGGTTACTTACTTATCTGATAGCTGTGTATCATTCTCTGACATTTCTCTTAATGTAATCACCACAAAGTCCATCCATTTTGCCCCAAAAAGCACTTTTAGAAATCTTTTTATTTGTTTGCTTTTAAATTAATGAATGAATGAATTTTCTTACTTTGTTGTTGATTTTTGGACATTATTTGATGACTCCCCTCAGGCGTCATCCCTGTTGCTCTCCCGCCCCCATAGCTCTCATGATCCATCACCATAGTCCCTTGTGCTCTTCCTTCCCCTGTTTTGACTTTTCTTGCCCCCTCCCACCCCCCAATGTATGCCTCAGGTATGTGGTAGGCTTGCAAGTTTTGTCTTTTTCCTAACCCTTTAAAATCTTTTTAAACAGCTGAATAGTATTCCATTGAGTATATATGCCACAATTTCTTTATCCATTTATCCATTGATGAGCACTTAGGTTGGTTCCTTGACTTGGCAATTGTGAACAGTGCTGCCATGAACATAGGAGTATGTATATAAGCCTTTCCATATTAGAGTTTTTATGTTCTTTGGGTAAATACCTAGCAGAGGTATTGCTGGAATATATGGGATTTCTGGAGTTTTCTCTGTCCAGAAGGTACTCCCTCTCCCCTTTCATATGTTCCTTGCACCCTTTGTATACAACTTAAATGTCACCCTTTCTGACCACACTATCTTGGGACCACTCTATTCCTATAGATTCTTCACCAAAGTAATTCTTATTTATCATCATTCACAAGCTATCTATTTGTATGATATTTACTAACCATCTTTCCCCACAAAAGAAAGCAAACTAGTAAACTCCAGGAGGGCAGGAAACAGTTGTTTTGTTCACTATGATATACCTATCACCTTTCCTAGCCTAGCACTAGACAAGTGTTTATTATTGCTGCCATTATTGGTAGCACTCTGTGCCATAGAACAAACAATACAAATCCAGCATCATTTGTGACATGGGGGATTCAAGGAGGTTAACTACTTTTTAGGGTATCAAGGGTTTTCTATTTTCTGTATCTTCCAAATTTTCCATAATGAAAACCCGTTTTGATAAAAATTTCTAGTAAACTCTACATTTTAATAACTCCTTACAGGAAATTAACCTGATTAATAGATTTATTCTGAAAGCACAATTCACAATAAGGAAATAAAGACTAATAGCCAACTTATCATTATCAAGGGTATCCATTTTTTCCCTTTTTTTTATTATGAGACTATAGGAAAAAGGTTATATTTTTTAAAAGAGTGAAATTACTAATCAAAGGGCATTGCCTGACATAGGAAAGATTAGTGATTTAATGAATGATTTTCCAGTAGATCAGATATAGATAACATGATAAAGTGAAATGAAAATTTTCATGCAGTGTCCCCTCAGATAATGTTGAGGGAATGCATAGTTCCTGATCAATTATGAATACTCAGTATTTGCTGAATCTGTTCCATTAGTTTGTGTGTCTGTTTTTGTAGTATAGTTTGAAGTCTGGGAGTATAATGCCTCCATTCTTCAAAAGACAAACATTTTAAAGATGATGACACCCACTGCCGCTAAGTCAGTGGAGAAAAAGACCCAACCTATATTCTTCAAAAAAATTAGGACTCAGGACCTCCCTGGTGATGTAAGGGGTTGAGCGCAACGCTGTGAAGCTGTTCACAGCCTCTGCAGCATGAGTTCAACCCCCGGCCAGGGAACTACCCACATGGCGCAGCAGACCTCTCCTGACTGGCCCGCTGCTCTTCACAGCAGTGTATTTCAGTCAATCTGCCTGTTCTATTTCCCACTCTGTCTCTGGTGGATCCCCTCACCTCCCACACCTCTGGCCTGTACCCCCGTTCTTGTAATCATAAATAAATAAATCTTTAAAAACCATTAGGAATCAATACAACATTTCAGAAGAGTATTGGGTAATGTCTATCAAAATAAAAGATGCCTGTATTCTTTAATCCATCAGTCCCACTACTAGAAATTTATGTGACCAATGAACTTATCATTTTTACCAAGATTCTATACCAAGAATCACAAAACACATACCCATCAATTGCGACATTGGTAATATTTGGGAAAAGAAAAGAGAAAGAAAAACAAAACAAAGTGTTAATCAGTAAAAGATTAGTTTTAGCATATTTATACAATTGAATGCTATTAATAATGCTTTCTGTAAAAGAATGGTTCTCCTATGAGGAAATGTTCATGATATAATATTAATTGGAAAATGGAAAAAAAAAGCAGATTACAAAATATTTGCACAATAATTCAATTTTTTTTAAGATTTATTTATTCATTTACACAAGAACCAGGGTACAGGCCAGATGTGCGGGAGGGTGAGAGAATTCACCATAGACAGAGCGGGGAACAGAACAGGCAGACTGACGGAATATACTGCTGAGGGGGGCAGCGGGCAAGACAAGAGAGGTCTGCTGAGTCATGTGGGACCCTCGTCAGCTGGCCTGGATCAAACTTGCGCTGCAGAGGCTGCAGACAGCTTCACAGTGTGGTGCTTAACCACTTGCGCCACCAGAGGAGGCCCCTATAATTCAATTTTTATATAAAAATAGACATGCATAGTATTCCTGCATTGGAAAAAGAATGTCAGGATCTACAGAATATATACTTTCCTGTCATTTATACATTTTCTAAGTGCACATGTATCATTTTTACAACCTGCAAGAAAGTTGCGTAAAAGTTTTCAACTATCTGTAGAAAAAGAGAGTTAAATAATCTGTGTCCTTATATGCTCAATATTGAGTAATAAACACTATCTAGAATCCATGCCAGAGGTTTTATTAAAATTAATGATTAAGCATAAGTCATCAAAAATGCTACAGCTAAAATAATCTAAAAGCTATTTAGGACTTGGCTGAGAATAAGATATGCTTCCACGTATTCTAACCCATTCACAAGCTCTATTTGCATTGCTTTATTCATCAAACGTTGTCACCAACTGTTGCTTAATCCAAGTGAGTGTGTATATATAACTAGAGTTGGAATGTAACTGATTAACAACGACCAAATGTTGACAACAGGAAACTTCACCAATTGAGACCAGCCCATCACTTTTATAATTTAGGTGAGTGTTGTAACCAGTGTGCGAGAATATTTTTCATGTAATTAAAAAAAGCAGAAAAAAAGAACCACTGGCATATATGCTGCCATATGTTCTGAAACATTTCTGATTTAAAAATAGGAGAGTAAAGAGTATATTTTAAGACTGGAAAATGATCATATTTTTTGGTTAAAATATTTATAGATTGTTCAAAGAAATTGCCTTGTTTTCAGAATAGAATTGGAATATTTTTTCGGATTATGATTTTGATTTATGTGATTCTTTACAACAGCAGCTGACTTTCTTCATGACACCATTATAAACATGATATTTCAGTTTCTTGTTTACCTGTTTACCTTCAGTTTCTTGTCTCTGAAAGCTAATGTTGGTATAAACTAGAGTTCCTCTGAATGTGTCCTCTCAAATTCTCCTGGGGCTATTTACAGATTGGAGGTTACAAGATCAAATAATTACTGAAAATAATTAATTAAACAAAAGCACTTATCATTCTTCAAAGGACTATCAACACCTTTATTACACTAATGTGAGTTCTGACTTTCCAAGAAGTGGGAACTAAAACAAAGTATTTCCCAGGTTTATTTGAAAATGTGTCTTTTTTTTCTTTTTTTTTTTTTTAAGTCCAGAACTTTTCTATGTTCAGATTTTTTTCCCTGGGACATAAAGAATTGTAGATGAAAGGGAAAAAAACAAACAAACAAATCCAACAAGGCAAACTGCATGTTATTAGTAAAGTGTTATCTCACACCTACTATGTGCATGCTATTTAAACTATTTTCTGTATAATTTAAACATTATCTACAATAAGGTTACTGAACAGCACTATTCCATGTATTTTGGTTACAAAGTAACGACCATATTCAGAAATTTATTATTTCAAAGAAGGTGGACAACTGGCTGAGCATTTGAATTTAAATTTCCAGTTGTGATTATTCTCTTCCCATATTTGGCAAGGGTTAGAGTGAGGTGGGTAGAGAAGACAGGGTAGGGGAGCTCTGGCATAAAGATGGAAGTCAGAAGACTAGATTCTGGTCTCTGTTCTGCTTTCATAACCCTGCCTACTCAACTGTAGAGTTAGGGGGTTAGTGAAATGATGTGTAAGGTTCTCTGCTTCTAAGTGTTCTTGATCAATAAGAATGGGAGAATTTTTATTCTTCTCCTCTGAAGAAGATAAGGATCAATGTGAGGTTTTCAAATTCTGTGAAAATAATATTTAGACCCTTGGGAAAATTCTTCAATGGTGGGGCAGATGAGAACTCCCACCATTGAAGAATTTTGTTGGTGGCACCCACAGTATATAGGATAGTTGCATATAATTCTAGTTCCACCTAGACAATTGAATTTAGAATTTCAGCCTATTTGGGGTTGTCTTGGGGAAAAAAAATATAGTTGAATGAAATTTATCTTCCAATGAGTCCTCTAAACCAAGAACTTGAAGTTCATAAGAGATTGAAATGATAATCACCCTTCCCAGTTTCCAGAAAGCTCCGAGGATAATTTGGAGGGGATGGTTTAATAAAAGTAGCAATACCTATTAATAAAACTTCAGGTGACGTCAGAAAGAGTTTAATACTGGAGAAGTCCTGCTCATTCTGTAACAGGGTGGTCCCAGGAAAGGGGGAGTTTCCAGGTTTCCTGCCCCACCCAAAAGGAGGGTGGAGCTGAGCAGAGAGAGAAGCAGCTGTAGAGGAGACTGAGGAAGGAAGGAAGCAGGATGGAGGGCCAAGAGGAGATCTGGAGGAGGCACATGGAATGGAGAGACATGTGAAGAAACTGTGCTTGCCTTTTGGTCGTGGACTGGGTGACACAGATGTGGGTGAGACCCGTGGGGAGGTGACAATGGCAGCTTTTATCTTGATTTTGATTTTGCTCTTTTCCTTCTGGGCTTGTCTGGTTGTTTCTGACCCTTTTTTGTGGGTCCCCACTGGAAGATGCTTTAGACTTGTGGCAGGCTTTGGGGCCTTGCTCTGGGCCAATCCCACTTGGATGGAGTTTTACCCACGAGGGGATGGGTAACTTTGGGTGCTTGATTTAGAAACTAAATTCTTTGCCTTTCCTGTCCTGTTTCTTAGTTGTATTAAAATTCCTTCCCATTAAAGTCTCATATGTTTTGTGTTGATGTGGTAGATGGCAGAACCCATAAAGAATAGGCAGGTTTGCGGGGTTTGGATTGCCCCTCTCCCTGCCCTGTAACAAATCTGGCACCCCACAATGCGGCGGACGGCAGAACCCATTTAGATCAGGCAGGTTTTGGGGGGGTCTGGGGTATACCTCTCCCTGCCCTGTAACAATTCCACAAACCATATTACAACTGCTAGAATTTCTGGCAATGAAGATAGGTTGCAGCACCATACTGAAAGACTATGGAATTTTCTGCAATTAACAATTATAGTCAATTATGACATTATGCTTTTTATGCTCAAATCATGCCAAATTTCACCAGCAGGAGACCTTTCAAGTGTACTCATGTGTCCTTTTGACACAACCTCACTAATTTTTGAATGTTTCGCTGAGTTCTGGTACAGCATGATATTCCATTTTTACTTCTACTTTTCCAGGCCCAGATCTAGCATCTTGTTATCAATTTTATGTTGAGATGATCAGTTGCTCTGTTGTTTTCAAGTCAAGACAACTAAATTAATATTTTATTTCAATCCAACAGAAGCCTGAAAAATGAAGTCAAAAAAGTGCTTAACCACCAAAATTTCCCAAGCAAGGATGAACAGTTCAACAATCAATACTACTCTCAGAAGTAAGAGTTTAAACATTTGTTTTATACACTACCCACTATTTTTATCTATTATTATTCCAATGCTCATATATGCTGCTTTATAAAAACTATTAAGAATACAAAAGCTGGGGTCTCCCTGGTGGTGCAAGGGGTTAAGACACAACCTATGAAACTATCTCCAGCAACTGCAGCACAAGTTCGATCCCTATCTGGCCAGGGAGCTTACCCTCATGGCACAGCATGTGCCTCTCCTGACTCACCTGCTGCTCCCTCTCAGCAGGGTATTTCAGTCAGTTGGCCTGTTCTGTTCCCCACTCTGTCTCTGGTGGGTCTTCTTACCCCCACACCTCTGGCCTGTGCTCCAGTTCTTGTATGCATAAATAAATAAATCTTTTTTCAAAAAAAGGATACAAAAGCTGAGATTAAAGGGATGACTCACAAATGTGCAATATAGCAGACTCTGGTTTTAAACTTTATTTATATAGCCAACTCTGCTTACTTGATACACTGCAGGACAATATAAACCTGCTAATAGCAATAAACATAATTATAGCTCTTCATATCAATCTCTTCTCTTTCCACTCCTCCTACCACCAAATCACAAAAAACTTTTTTCCCAGACTTACAATGCTTTAAAGTAATCCAGTTTTATTCAACAAATATATATTAAGATTTTTGGAGTGTTAATTTGCAACTGTTGATAATGGAGAGAGCAACAAGATTAGAATTAGATAGACAGTAACAGATAATAGACCTATTTTTCAAGATAGCTAAATCAGGAAGAATATATTAGGGGTAGAGAAAGATGAAGTCTTTTATAATATTTGGGGTAGATATAAATCATCAAAGTAAGAATGTTAAGATTCAGGAGACTGTACATAGACATAGAGATGAATTGAGGTAGCTGAAATAATAATGCTCTGTGGAGAGGGAGCAACAAATATAAAGTGCAGGAGAGAGACCAAAGATAGAGTTAGAGTTGAGGAATTGTCATCATATAAAGAGATGACTGAAATCATTGCAGCAGGTATGATTGCCCAGAAAGAGAGGCTAGAGTGAGAGGAAAAGGTAAAGGAAAAAATCCTGAGGAACACCAACATTTTTTAAGCAAGCAGAGGAGAAAAAGCTAAGAGAAATATAGATATGGATTGGCCAGAGAGAAACAAGAATCTAAAGATACTGATGACATGACAAGAGAAGAAGAAGTCAAAGATGTATGTGCTTCTTCTTTGACAGTATAGATAAATGCCACAGAGAGGTCAAGGTTATTAAGCATTGAGGAGAGATTTTGGAAAAACAGATGTTTGGCTCTCACAGTGACAGAAGTACAGAAAAACTTTGGACCACTTCCTATTACTCCCTTGGAAATGTCAGAGATTTCATCATGTTGTTGCAATGTTGAAATTTTCTGAGAATTTTCTTAAAAGTCATAAAAAGACACTGCCCTCAGGCAGTACGCAGGATGGAGACAGAAGTGGCAGTAGCCCTTATGTAAACATGAACTGGCCCTCTGACCACAAAATAGCACTTTCTCCTACAGAGTCTCTAAGGCCAGTCAAGTTTTGTACTTTGCAAACACAACTTTCACACTACACCTTCAGCTGTTCTGAGCAACAAGGCATACCTTCTTCCAAATTCTCCAAATGCAAAGTATTTCAATACTTCAAATGCAGTCATGCACCCCCGTGAATTGTACCCATTGTTTTCCCATTAGATGCTAGTCCCTACATTGATACCTTTAGCACCTAACTTTTTTTTTTTAAAGATTTATTTATTTATTTATACAAGCACTCTGTACAGTCAGAAGCGCGGGAGGGTGAGAGAATTCACCAGAGCCAGAGCGGGGAACAGAACGGGCAGACTGACGATACACTGCTGAGGGGAGCAGCGGGCGTGGCAGGAGAAGTCTGTCACACTATGTGGGACCCTCGCCGGCGGCAGGGGATCGAACCAGCACTGCAGAGGCTGTGGGCAGCTTTGCAGCCCAGCACTCAACTGCTGAGCCACCAGGGGAGGCCCAGCTCCTAACTTTTTTCTGCATCCACAATACTACCTCAGTATCTTGGCCCTCACTGCCAATTACTCAAGAGTCACCTCCTGCTGCCCACAGAGTCCATTCTCAATATTATCCATACTGGTCAATATTATCCCCATGGGATGTAAACTACACATCATCACATGCCCATCATTACATAAGCATATAAAGAATAAGCATGCTTATGGTATTGTCTTATGCCTTTTAGCTCTGAAGACACAATATGGTATTATATTAAATTAGTTGTCAGGAGGCCAAGTTCAATTCTGGCTCTGGCATAGCTTTGTAGATTACCTTTGTAACTATAAATGCATATATAAATGTGAGATACCATAGTTAATATTTCCAAATTGTGAAGTAATGGTATAGGGGAAGTTCCAGGTGGATGTGAGTATGATTAAGTGGTCTTGCCCTATTGAGACAGTTGAAAATACTTAAAGGTAGATGCTCATCTGAACTGGAGTAAAGATATATATGATTCAAAATAGCAGTTAATGAAATTTTATTCCACTTGACTTTGAAAGGCATATGAAAAAAGCAAATCTAGAGAATAAAAAGAAATCACAGAAGAGGTCTAAAAGTCACAGTAATTATTTTCATTCTCCGGATTACTGTGAAAATTTACTGTGTAAATTACTTGACAACTTACTATAATATTGAAAGTTAAGATTCTATACTCAAGTATTACAACTATCTATTTGACTCTGAAAGGCTCCTTATGATTTCCAAGTAGTACATTTACTTTTTCATTTTGAGATTAATTTTTTTCTCTGGCTAAATGAAGAATTTCTAGATAATTAACTTTATTGTTTCAATGATTTATATGAACTTGCATTTTGTTAGTGCCTACCCTAAAAGTGCAGCATAATATTTTCTTAGATGGAGGTAGATGGAATTAATAGCTTCAATATTAGACCCCTGTGAATCACCACTTCTTACCAGACCTGTAATCTTGGGCAAATGTCGTAACTTCTAAGAATCTCAGATAAGAGAATAAAACCTACCTTGCAAGATTACTGTGAAGGATTAAATAAAATACTATATAAAATTATTAGCACAGTGCTTGGGTCACTGTGGACACCTAGTAGATGCAGCTATTTTAAATATCAATAACCTTTATAGGCTATAGATGTCACTTCAAAATTATTAAAAGGATATTCTACATAAGTAGAAAAGATTATGGATTTCATGATATCATAAGAGTTTCCCCTTGACTAGGCATGTTAGATGAAGGTCCAGTCACCCTTACATGGAATTTTGAAAATCAATTTATTTTCTGAAGACCTCAAGTTACTCACAGTAACTCATTTGGCAGCAAAATATAACTTAAACTCACCCCACAGTTAAATCCTTACCTGAACCAACATGAGCTCTTTATTTCATTTTTCCTATGCTTCCTATGTTTCACTTTAAAAGGATTCATTAATCTTTGATTGTGAGGTGCTACTCTAGTCCCTGTTGGGAGATACATATATACATATACACATACACATATACACACATATAAAAACATATATAAAATGCAATACAATTAATGTGAAGAATACATGTGTATATGTAAATGCACATACATACATTTGTACATTTGCACATACACTTTGTATTATAATTCTAAAACTCTGAAATTGAAACACAATTAGTTGCTTTCTTGATCTGCTACACTCAGGATTGATAAAGGGATAAAGATGAATGGAATGAATCAGTATCATAATTTTTTCAATTATTTAGAACCCAAGGCCAAAGGAGTTTGCCAGAGATACTATATGAAGCTACGCTCTGGCTTTACTATACAAAAGGAGTATCATTTGAGGAACACCAAAACGCCTTCACCAAAAACAGGTAGGAGAAACTATATTTCCTGGGCAATGACGGTGGGCATATATTTGCTTATACTTGCCAGATCTAAATATCTGTATATCTATATTTATCTGAGTTTGTTTTTCTCACCCAAATTTTCCTTCCTGAAAAGAGTAAGGATGACGAACTGCTTTTTAGCATGGGAGAAATGTTTATGTTATAACGTTAATTGAGAAAAAGAATACAAAATAAATATATTTTAAATAGTTAATATTTTTTTCATTTAAAGGAAGTAAATGAAAGTGGATGACTGCCTTTTGGGTATTAAGACTATGGGTGACTATTTTTCTTCCTCTAGACTCAACTGGTTGTATTTATTGGGGTTCAAATGTACCAGGAGTTACTGATCCCTTCAGATAACCATGGGATGGTTGAAGACTTGGGATCATTCACCATTATCAGCATTCAGTCTGATGCATATCAGCATGCAGCATGCAGTTCAGACCCTCAACGACAGGATCTGAACAGAATGGCGACTGACAGTACTCTCCTACCCTCTCCCCTGTTCTGCAGCTGGAAAATACAAAGACCAACACCTGTTAATCACTACCTGTCATCGGCAGATGAAACACCTCAAAAAGTCAGTTGCGAGCTTCCCCATTGAGACATCTATGGTCCAGAGATGTGCCACAACAACTGATGTTCCATATTACCAAAGTATCCAAGGTACGACTGGCCACAGAGGTGGGGTAGGAAGAAGGAGGGATATAAGACACAGAATCCTGGCCAGTGCTACTCCAGAAAGTAGCCCCAAGTCTACATCTTCTTGTGTATTGGAAACTAGTATTCATTTGCAACTGATGTGCCCATTTACTGGCACCCAGATTAGGAACAAGGTACCTGCTGGAATAGTGCATGTGCACTCTGTGATTAGCACATCATCATTATTTTGAAATGTATGCTATGAATTAGAAAACTTTATACATTATAATTGATGAAATACATTATCCTTTGGGAGAAAAAAAACACATTATTCCCCCAAAGTTCAACATTTTGATAGTGAAAGAAAAGAATAGTTAGATCTTTAAATATAATTTCAACTGAAACATTTTAAATAGTGGTTAAAATAATCTTATATTGTATCACCTACATGTGCATAGAAAGTTTGGTTGATGATTACTATCAAGAAGTGACAAGATAATTATTAATAAAACTTGACCAGGAATTGCATGTTGATATTTCAAACATTATTCCTGATGGAATGTCTTAGTTCCCAGAAGGATACTAAAATTTCTTATTAAGTATAGGAATTGGGCCTCCCTGGTGGCACAGGCGGTTGAGCACAGCACTGTGAAGCTGTCCACAGTCTCTGCAGTGCCAGTTCGATACAATCCAGCTGCAGAGATACCCACACAGCACGGCAGACCTCTCCTGTCTCGCCCGCTGCTCCCCTCAGCAGTGTAGTTCGGTCAGTCTGCCTGTTCTGTTCCCCACTCTGTCTCTGGTGAATCTTCTCACCCTCGTGCGCATCTGGCCTGTACCCCGGTTCTTGTATAAAAATAAATAAATCGAAGAGGGCGGAGCAACATGGCGGCGAGGAGACGCTGCGAGTAAGATCTCCCATTAAAAAAAGTTAATAGGGAGGAAAAGCGGCAGGTCCCAGTGAGAACTGGGACACGGAAGATAAACGGACGACTCCAGCAAACTGCCCGAAGAAGAAAGTTGCCATAAAAGAGGACGAGAAGGGAGGGAAGCGCAGAACCCTGCTCCCCTCCCCCGCCCACAAAGTCGGCACTCTCCGACCGGCAGAGAGGAGGGAAACAACAAACCAAAACAGCCAACAAGAAAAACGGACACAGCAAGCGGGACTGTGAGTGGAAAGGAACTATTGCAGCCACCACACCCCGTGAACGGGAGCTGAGGCGAACCCTGCAGGATCCGCCGCGGAGGTGAGCTCCAGGCGCCATTAAAGAGAGCCCCGCCCCCCAGGAGGAGACCAGCACCAGCACACAGCCCCGGCCGCCCGGTAAGCTTGCGCGGAAAGTGGCGCGGATCCAGACCGGATCGCAGCTGCCCAGGTCCCCGCGCCTGCGACCTAGGCTTGCGGGGAGACTGCGGAGGCCCTCCCTGAGTGAGCAGGAACAAGGCGCCCAGGCAGGGGAGCGGGATTCAAAAGGCGCCATTCCCGCGCCACTGATCTGGGCTACAGCCCGCGTCCTGGAACTGAGGGCTTTGGAACTGAGACCCGGGGCACGAAATTAGGGGCGTGGGTTCCCCACGACGGTGGGGCACAAGGCAGACACAGCACCCCAAAGCCGTTGAGGTGTACCCTACCATCCCCACTCTGCTCCCTGTCCCACGGGGTGGAAAATCAGCTCCCCAAGGGCTCCAGGAGAGATCTCTGGCGCCACCTAGCGACTTGACCCCAGCACAGGCTACTGAAGGAGCTAGTGGCCAGCTGGGGAGTTAGCCCACACCTGGCTCCTTCCGAACAAGTAGTCTGAGCCCACAGGGAGAGCGAGCACCCACAGCCGGGGCAGACCAGGCGCGCAGAAGAGTGTGCCTGAGACCAGACGCGCAGGGAGTGTGTCCCACATCACCATTTTAGAACAGGGACATTTCTTCAGTAAAGACTACCTGCAGAAGGCTTCCTCAGGAGCCAGAGGTGAGCGGGGGAAGTTCGCCCACGCCAGACCCCTCTGGCCTGCAGTCCAAGCCCAGAGGGGAGCAGGAACCCACCGCCGGGGCAGACCAGGCGCACAGGGGAGTGTGTCCCCACATCGGCATTTTAGAACAGGGACCTTTCTCCATTAAAGGCTGCTTGAAACTGACAGATGACTCCTGGAAGAACCAGAGGGGAACAGAGAAGCCCACCCAAGATGCCGGCCAGTCCCAACAACACAGTGTCCCAACGCATACGGCAAATTAGAAAACAGACAGTAGGGAGGAGAAGAACCACACGCAACCTAGCAACTCTCCAGAGAAAAAGCACACCACAAAAAGAAAGCCAGCCCCCAGATTGCAAAGACAATAACTTGGAAGAATTTCTGAGCCTTCCAGAAAGATAATTTAAAATTGCCGTGATTAAAAAACTGACAGAAGTCATAAAGGAAAACAATGATAAGGGAAAAATAATCAACGATCAGAAGAATGCAATTGAGTCCCTAGAGAGGGAAAACAATGGTCAGAAGAAAGAAATTGAGTCCCTAAAGAGGGAAGTAAAAGAAATGCAGGAGATCAAAGAATTAATGGAAGAACTAAAGAATTCTGGGAAAAGCAATGAAAGCAGAATAGATGAAATGGAAGAACGAATAAGTAATCTTGAAGACACAGAAATAAAAAGAACGAAAACAGAAAAGGAAAGAGAAGTACGAAGGAAAAAGAACGAAGAAAGACTTCGGGAACTATCTGACTCCATGAGGAAAGGAAATATAAGAGTTATAGGAATACCAGAAGGAGAGGAGAGAGATGTAGGAACAGAGAAAATATTCAAAGAGATAATTGAAGAGAACTTCCAAATGTGAAGAAGGAGCTGAAATTGATATACAAGAAGCAAGAAGAACACCAAACTTCCACGACGAAAGGAAAAATACAGCAAGACACATAATAGTAAAGCTCCCAAGAATCCAGGACAAGGAAAAAATAATGAAGCTGGCAAGAGGGAAGAAACAGATAACATTCAAAGGAAAACCAATCAGGCTGACATCAGACTTCTCTGAAGAAACACTACGGGCAAGGAGAGAGTGGAGGGACATAGTCAACAGACTCCAAGAAAACAGATGCCAACCAAGAATACTCTATCCCGCAAAGCTCTCCTTCCTCTTTGAAGAAAGAATATGGACCTTCCCAGACAAACAGAACTCCGGAATTTCATTGCAACTAAACCCCCACTCAAAAAATACTACAAGGAGTCCTAAAGCCAGAACCTCAGAGGGACGAATAACAATGAAAGAAAGCCAAAAAAAAAAAAAAAGTTATTAAAAGAATAAATAAATAAAATCAAAGGAAAGACAAACACAATGGCAAATACAGATGTTAACATATCAATATTAACTCTAAATGTAAATGGACTAAACTCTTCAATAAAAAGACACAGAGTGGCAGCCTGGATTAAGAAACAAAACCCAACCTTTTGCTGTCTCCAGGAAACACATTTAGCTACAAAAGATAAAAATAGGCTCAAAGTTAAAGGATGGAAAACAATCCTACAAGCAAATGGACCAAAAAAGAAAGCAGGAACAGCTATACTTATATCAGATAAAACAGATTTCAAACTCAAAAAGATAAAAAGAGACCCCAATGGTCACTACATTATGATCAAGGGGACAATACTTCAAGAAGAAATAACACTCATTAACATATACTCACCAAACGAAGGAGCACCAAAATATATCAGACAACTGTTGTCCTCTCTGAAAACAGACATCAGAGAAAACACATACGTAGTGGGAGACTTCAACACACCACTATCAACAATGGATAGATCAACAAGACAAAAAATAAGTAAAGAAACCAAAGCTCTAAATAAGGACCTAGAGCAATTAGGCTTAACAGACATCTATAGAACACTAAACCCCAAAAAAACGGAGTACACATTTTTCTCAAGCGCACACGGATCATTCTCCAGGATCGATCACATACTGGGGCACAAGACAAACATCAACAGATACACCAAGATTGAAATCATATCAACCATCTTTTCTGACCATGAAGGCATCAAACTAGAAATAAACCATAAAAAGAAGGCAAGGAACTTTCCTACCTCATGGAGATTAAAACCACACTACTGGAAGACCATTGGACTAATGAGGAGATCAAAGAAGAAATTAAAAATTTTTTGAATTGAACGACAAGGAGGACACTAATATCCTAATGTATGGGATGCAGCAAAAGCAGTAATAAGAGGAAAATATATAGCAATAGAAGCTCACATCAAGAAACAAGAAAGAACGCAAAGAAACAACCTCATCTCGAAGCTCAAAGATCTAGAAAAAGAACAACAAAAAACCCAAAACCAGTAGAAGAAAAGAAATAATAAAAACCAAAGCAGAAATAAATGAAATTGAAACTAAAAAAACAATCCAAAAGATCAATGAAACCAAGAGCTGGTTTTTTGAAAAAATCAATAAAATAGACAAACCCCTAGCCAGGCTCACAAAGGAAAAAAGGGAGAAAGCAAATAAACAGGATCATCAATGAAAGAGGAGAAATCACACGGACACAGCAGAAATCAAAAGAATAATCAGTAACTACTATGAACAGTTATATGGAAACAAGTTTAACAATCTAGAGGAGATGGACAAATTCCTACAACTCTACAATCACCCAAAGCTAGATAAAGAAGAAATAGAACACCTAAACAGACCAATTACAATTAGCGAAATTGAAATGGTAATCAAAAACCTCCCCAAAAACAAAAGCCCAGGACCTGATGGATTTACAAATGAATTCTACCAAACATTCAGAGACGAATTAGTGCCTATCCTTCACAAACTCTTCCAAAAAATTGAGAAGGAAGGGACAATACCAAACACGTTTTATGAAGCCAACATTACACTAATACCAAAACCGAACAAGGACAACACAAAAAAGGAAAACTACAGGCCAATCTCCCTAATGAACACTGATGCAAAAATCCTCAATAAAATTTTAGCTATCAGAATCCAACAATGTATCCATAAGATAATTCACCACGACCAAGTTGGATTCATTCCAGGGCACAAGGATGGTTTAACATCCGAAAATCAATCAACGTTATCCAACACATCAACAAAAAGAAATATAAAAACCATATGATAATATCAATAGATGCTGAGAAAGCTTTCGACAAAGTGCAACACCCATTCATGATAAAAGCCCTTGAAATTCTGGGGATACAAGGAACATACCTCAACATCATAAAGGCCATCTATGACAAGCCAACAGCCAGTATCATTCTCAATGGTGAAAAGCTGAAAGCAATCCATTAAGATCTGGAACAAGACAAGGATGTCCACTCTCACCATTGCTTTTCAATATAATACTGGAAGTCCTAGCCAGGGCAATAAGACAAGAGAAAGACATCCAAGGAATCCAAATAGGAAAAGAAGAAGTCAAACTATCACTATTTGCAGACGATATGATATTATACATAGAGAACCCCAAAAACTCCACAGAAAAACTAATTCAACTCATCAATCAGTTCAGTAAAGTGGCAGGATACAAAATCAACACGCAAAAGTCAGTAGCCTTCCTATACACAAACAATAAATCTGAAGAAGAAGAAATCAAAAAGACCATCCCTTTTGTTATTGAAACAAAAAAAATCAAATATTTGGGAATAAATCTAACAAAAGAGGTAAAGGACCTATACAAAGAAAACTATAAAACACTGTTAAAAGAAATAGAAGAAGACACAAAGAAATGGAGAGACGTCCCCTGCTCATGGATTGGAAGAATAAACATTATTAAAATGGCCATCCTACCAAAGCAATATACAGATTCAATGCTATTCCAATCAAAATTTCAATGTCATTCTTCAAAGAAATAGAACAATTATTGATGAAATTCATATGGAATCACCAAAAACCCCGAATAGCCAAAGCTCTCCTGAAAAAAAAGAAGGGAATGGAGGCATCACACTCCCAGACTTCAAACTATACTACAAAGCCATAATCATCAAAACTGCATGGTATTGGAACAAGAACAGACATACAGACCAATGGAATCGAATAGAAAATCCAGAAATAAACCCACAGATTTATGGTCAACTAATCTTTGACAAAGGAGCAAAGAATATGCATTGGAGCAAAGAAAGTTTGTTCAATAAATGGTGCTGGGAAAACTGGGTCGCTACATGCAAAAGAATGAAGCTTGACCACCACCTCACACCATACACAAAAATCAACTCAAAATGGAATTAAAGAACTAGACATAAGACCTGAAACCATAAAATATATAGAAGGAAATATAGGCGAAACACTACGTGATTTGCACATCAAAGACATCTTTACAGACACATCACCCAAAGCAGTGATAGTGAAGGCAAAGATAAACAGCTGGGACTACATCAAATTAAAGAGCTTTGCACAGCAAAAGAGTCAATAATAAAAACAAAGAGAAACCCACCACTGGGAGAACATTTTTGCACCCAACACTAATGATAAAGGACTGATCACAAAAATCTGCAAAGAGCTGATGAGACTCAACAACAACAAAGAAAATAATCCAGTCAAAAAATGGGCAGAAGAGCTAAAAAGAACTTCTCTGAAGAGGAAATGCAAATGGCCAACAGGCATATGAAAAATGTTCAACATCACTTGTCATCAGGAAATGCAAATCAAAACTACCATGAGATACCATCTTACACCAGTGAGAATGGCACATATTAAAAAAACTAGCAACAACAAATGTTGGCGAGGGTGTGGAGAAAAAGGAACTCTTCTGCACTGTTGGTGGGAGTGCAAACTGGTCCAACCACTGTGGAAAGCTGTATGGAGATTTCTGGACCTACTAAACATAGAGCTTCCATATGATCCAGCAATTCCACTCCTAGGTATTTAACCAAAGGACACAGAACACATCATCATTCCAAGAACACCTGCACCCCTATGTTTATAGCAGCACTGTTTACAATAGCTAAGCTTTGAAACAACCCAAATGCCAAAATAGATGACTGATCAAGAAGATGTGGTACATATATACCATGGAATATTACTCAGCATTCAAAAATAAAACACATGCAATTTGCAGCAATGGATGGCGCTGGAAGGGATCATGCTCAGCGAAATAAGCCAAAAAGAAAAAGAAAAATACCGGATGGTCTCACTCATAGCAGGAATCTAGAAAACTTAAATAAGGACCAGGAAAATGAATAACTATAAGAAAGTGAAAATCAAAATCAACAAAAAACTATGAACCAGAGACACTTTTAGGGGGCGGGGGTGGGAGGGAGGGATTGGGTCAGAATGGGGGGCTGCAATTGTATGGGGATATAACAATAAAATTTATTTAAAAAAATAAATAAAATGTAAAATAGATTAAAAAAAAATTATAAATAAAAATAAATAAATCTTTTTTAAAAAAGTATAGGAGTTAATATACAAATTTAATATTTCACATTCTCCTTAATATTGTGTTTATTGTTTTTCTTAGCATAATTCCATAATGTACAGAAATTTTTTTCTCTAGGACCCAGAGTCTCTAAATCTGCTAGAGTGTATCTCAGGATGCCATGAAAATATTATCATTTTCTATGTGTGCTGGGATAATAAAAAATAAAAGTTGGGAGTATTACTGTTTGTTATTTAGCTAGAGGATAGAATAGAGCTCGTTTTTTACTCCCCAGCACTACTGGGAATCTCTTAAGTGACTCCACTCCTGATAGATGGATATAGATTTACCCATGGCTATCAAAATACAGTTTCTTCTTGGGCAGTCTCCCCCACCACAGGGGTCAAGAAATGGAGGTTTCCTCAGGTAATGTGCGTCACTTTTCCAGGCTTCTTTCTCTCCACCTAAACTTCCTATTGCACACGCATATGGCCTTTCATGGCCTTTATGCAGAAGACTAGCATCTTTAATCCCATTCCAGTGGCACACCTCAGTCTTTGCGCTAGTAAAACTTGAGTCAAATGTTTTTATCCAGCCAACAGCAATGGCCAAAGTGCAGTTCAAATTACAAAAAAAAAAAAAAAAAAACCACCAACCAATTAACAACAACAACAAAAAGCTAACATTTTAAGGGGGCATTTTATTTTATTTTTAAAGATTTATTTTTATTTATTTATACAAGCACTGGGTACAGTCAGAAGCGTGGGAGGGTGAGAGAATTTACCAGAGTCAGAGCGGGAAGAAGAGCAGGCAGAAGGACCAAAGCACACTGCTGAGGGGAGCAGCGGGCAGAAGGAGAGGTCTGCGTGCCATGTGGGACCCTCCTCCGGGGCTTGGGAGCAGCCGGGGATCGAACCAGCACTGCAGAGGCTGCGGGCAGCTTCGCAACCCAGTGCTCAACTGCTACGCCACCGGGGAGGCCCTAAGGGGGCATTTTAAAAAAAGTTTTCTAAATGACTGCTCATGGGAACAAGTACTGTGAATTCTTAATGATAGGATTTTTACTTGTTACAGAGTTTTCTGCTTTCCTGAGCACATACAATGATCAATCTGTTTCCTTCATATGTGAGAATGAAGATTGTGAAATCTACATTGAAGATGTGGGTCAAAACCACAAGAAAGGTAGAATATTTGCTTTTGTCTATGATGTTATGATTACTAGTAAAGTTAGATTTACCACAAACAACAAATTAACTCAGACATGGCAAACAGATTTCATGCTGTGTTAACTCCAGTGTATTGGCAGTGGATTTCTGAATATCACTATGTTAAGGATCCAGAAACTTAGGTTTTATCAGGTAAGGGTACTGATATTGAGAAGTGGTACCTCTTGTGAAATGGGAGGAGGGATCACATGTATTTGCTATCACTAAATTACCCACTAGCTCTTTCCAGACTTATCAATATCACCAAAGTACAACATCCAGTAAAAGAATATATCACTGAAGAATATTTTTAAAATTTTAATAACAATTGTGTTGGAATATATTCATACATTTTTTGAAAACTTTCTCAAAATCACAAAAGTTGATTTTATTGATTTATGACAAAAGGGCAATTCTTGGCACTTTATAAATGTTGGAACTGAAAGCTCTTGATGAAATTGTATCTCACCAAAGGGATTTTATATGTTCTCTTTCAGATGAGGTGCTACTCCGTTTTTATGATTCTCAATCACCTTCAAATAAAACAGGTAATTTAGAGGACAGAGCTTGAATTCTTAAATTGGGGGTAAAGATAAATCCAAAAATGCTCCATGGAATAGGAAGGCAATCTCAGAAAGTTTCCTTCAACCCAAGGTCATAGTAAAATCTCAGATTTGTAGAGAATTTACCCACACTATTCATTTTCCAGTTTAATAGGTAGGATCAAGTTTTCTCCCCACATAACAGAGATCCTGAGTAGTAGTGGGGGGCTTATGCTGAACAAAATATTATTTCTGGCTTAACCAGAGCTGAAATGGTTTTTTAATGTCTAACAGATTGTCCAAGGTCCCAGGTCCTTCTATCCTTGTGGTGCTGACAACATCTACATGGTTCAAGATAATTTGCCACAATGATAATGTTCAATCAGCAGGACAGAGGAAGGCAGATGCATGCATTTTCTTTCCCTTTAAAGAAACAACCTAGAAATTATACCTGACAGCTCTGCTCATCTCACATTAGTCAGAACATAGTCGCTGTGCTCTGCTTAGCTACAAGAAGGCAGATGTTCCTTACACTAGAAAAGGAGTTGGGTAGGGGAGGGCAATGGATTATGGTAGAGGACTATGGGTGCATTGGTGATGGGTGTGGAGGTGGTAAAACACATCTCAAGAGGCATGATCCTACACTTCTTAGTCATATACAGTGTTATAAACCAATGTTACCTCAATTAAAAATAAACTATTAAACAAAAGAAAAGGAGTTAGAGGGCCTCCCCTCTAACTGGCGCAGCGGTTGAGCGCTGGGCTGCGAAGCTGCCCGCATCCTCTGCAGCGCCGTTTGGATCCCTGGCCGCCGGTGAGGGTCCCACATGGTGCGCAGACCTCTCCTGCCACCCACTGCTCCCCTCAGCAGTGTACTTCGTCAGTCTGCCTGCTCTGCTCTCCGCTCTGACTCTGGTGATTCTCTCACCCTCCGCGCTTCTGACTGTACCCAGTGCTTGTATAAATAAATAAATCTTAAAAAAAAAAAAAAAGAAAGAAAGAAAAGGAGTTAGATATTGGTGTGAAATTATCAGTGACTTTAAAGGAAGACAGTGAAGTTGATACTTTTAAAAAATACTTATTAGAGTCACAATTCTATTAGAAAGTGTATAAGAAAACTAAGTACTCCTTCAAGGGGTTTAGAATTACTCCCTACTTACCGTGAATGACTCTTTAGTTTTGTGTAGGTACAAATATTTCAAAAAGAAAAGTTTGTAAATGAAGTAGAAGTTTTAAATGACATCTTTAACTCTTTTCCTGGTGCTAAATTCATTTAAGTTACAATGAGTTACAATTTCTAATTTTATAATTTACATTTTTTTTTAATTATAAGGTGATGGTGTTGATGGTCAGATGGTAATGGTAAGCCTGAGTCCTACGAAAGGCAAAGACCTCTGGGTGTATGCCATTAAGGAGGAGCTCTCCGTGAAGGTAATAGACATGTGCTCTTAAATATCAAAACTGATCCTATTCATTTGTATAAATATGGGTGTTTGTGTGCTACTGAAAGTCTAGCCTTCTGCCAACAGTACAGCATACCTAAGGGTTTGTTAGAAATGTAGATTTTTCAGGTCACATCAAATTGAATCTAGGTCAATATTTTAACAAATCTTTAGGGATTAATATACTTTATGGAGTTTAAAAAGCACTGTTGTATAGGATGATCTGAAATCCTTTCCATTTGACTTTAAGAACTATGTTCTTCCAGGAAGTGTTTCTTTGTAAAATAAAGTTTTCTTATACAAATGCAAAAATTTTATACTCTAAGCCTGCTAAAGGGAAGGTCATAAGCATGTTCATGTGCCAGGATTTATAGATAGCTTACCAATCTATATTCTGATCATAGGATTCACTGCATGTTCTTTTTCAGCTAGTAAATAGTAATATTAGATTGGTCATAAGGAAGAATTATAAACATCTTGAAGTACAAACAAGCCAAAGTTGGAGGCAATGAGTATAATACAGAGGGTATATTATATAAGTAAAGTGTTTAAAGCTAATTAATATAACCATGTAAGGAATTAACTTAAAAACTAGATAGTAACCATATCTCCCTTAATAAACACTGACATATATAACTACTCATTATGAGCTGACCCGTACTGAGTTCTGTTATATGCCAAGCACTCTACTAAATATTTTATAAACACTGTCTCATGTAATTCTCATAGTAACTTTAAAGGGGAGCTAGTGTATTGGTCAGGTATTGCCATGTAACAAACCATTGGCCAACCTTTAGTTATTAAAATAATAATCACTTAAATCACTCATATCTATGTAAAGTGGGGGGCTGACTGACTTAGAAAATTGGTTAGACTAAAATATTAAGTCTTGATAGGTAAAGTAATGTGTCGAGGTCTGAGGTAGTATATAGCAAAAGAAGCACACAAATCCAGAACTCCTGCATTCTGATCCAGCCATTTTAAATCAAACTATCTCTCAAAGTATATTGACTGACAGTGAGTGAAATCAGCTTCCCCCACTTTTATTCACTTCTTTCTCCTACTCAATAAGCAGACTTGCTGGAAATAGCAAGGTAAAATAATTCCCCTTTAGTTTCTAGAACAGGGAGAGGAAATTGACTCTGGACTTTCAACTCACATATTGGTTGCTTTCTCTCTCATTTCCTCAGCTCCAAAAATGTGAAGAGCCACCACCAGACAAGGCCTTATTTCTCCTTCATCAAACGTCCCCCCAAAGTGTTCAATTTGAATGTAGGAGCAATCCTGGAGTATTTATAGGAGTAAAGGATAACCAGCTTGCTCTAATTAAAGTAGAGGACCAAACTGAGAATCTGAGTAGAGAGAATACAATATTTAAGCTCTCTTAATGTGATGGAAAGCTGTGGATCATGGTTTGGGTAGCCCAAATAACTACCATTGGAGAAGAGTTTAGCGTAGAGTTAAAAAGGAAATAGAAAGCTTTGCATGCTGTGGGATGCTTTCCCTACTATGTATAAAATGATTTCTTTTTTTTAGTAATCTTTCAAGTCTGTTTCTTATTTTCCTTTTTATTACTGCATTTTAAATTCAAGTATTGGTATATAAATAGGGTATTGGTTTCAGTCCAGAAAGAACTTCATATGTGGAGCTGAGTTCTTTAGGGAGAAAAAGGGCCTTAGCCCAAATGTTATTTTAGATGGGAATATGTTTTTAAAAGTTTACATAAGGACACAATTTTCCCTGGTTTCAAACAATAAACTTGAACATTAAAACTGTTCATAAAAAGACAAACAGATTGACCATTTCACAACTGGAATAAAACACAGTGTTTGTTTTAGATACCTTAGGCTATCCTCAGATCATTTTTTTTGTTTATTTATTTTTTGGTCAGGTTATAAAACTTCAGATCCTTCTATGGCTAAATGGATAATATAAAGTAGGCAAATATACTTAAAAATTAAGAAAAATAAATTCAGTAATTCTGAAGTGAATAATTTCACCTCTAATTGTTTAATCTTTAAAATTCTGATTTTTGGTATTGAGTTCACTTTAAACAAGGCATTCACACATTAAGAAATGAAATAAATTTCAGTTCAGATATGTAATTGAAATCATAGGGAAAGCTAACAAGGTAGAATTAAAAAAAAAAAAAGCACTGAGCTGTAACATATTAAGACATCCAAGTACTTCTAACCTGTTAAAGCTTAGATGGAACACAAGATTAATATTCTAATTACAATAAATTGGCTATTTCTCACATTTGTGGCATACTATGTCCTAATCTTGTTTTCCAGGATTTATGACAAAATTTTTTCTGATCTTTCTTCCCATATACACAAGCCTGTATATGCACTGGGTCCAGCTTACGTATGCCCCCACTTACTGTGGAGTATTCATCTGACTTCTTTTCATTCATTTCTTTTAACCAGCCATGTCTTTAATGTACTTTTTTACCCCCAGGCTTCATTTCCATGTCACCTAACCAATGGACACCAACACATTTATTGTTTTGTCTACATGATGTTGTAGAATTTTACATAAACCTATTGATGGCAATATTTTTTATTAAACATCTTCATGCTTTACTGTTACTAAGGTAGTAAAATTTATATTCAAAACACATAATAGTTTTCAACTACTAAAGGAATGTTTTCTACTTACTTTAAAGCATTAGCAATTTCTCCTACAATAGATAATAGATATACTAAGATAATATTTAATGAAATACGATTTTTTTCTGAATATGTAGGCTTTTTAATTTCTAACTTGCTGAAATATATTGATTATAATTATTGGTGGAACATAAGATGAAAGAAGCTAAGAATTACTGTACAAGGACAAACAATTGTAAAATATTAGTTTTGTTACTTTGTCAATAATTTTATGATAGAAAAAAATTGAAAGAATCTATCATACCCCCTCTAAAAAATGTTAAATGTTGACTACCTGTATCTGTATAATATACTTAAAATGATTAAATAAAAATATATAGATTACATTCATTGCTTATATTCTTGAATAAACTGTATTTTTCAAAAGTATGTGAGACTATAATGATTTTTATCACAAAATGACTCCATATTCTGAAATTCTTAGGTAAAAGTAAGCAGATTCCAAATCCACCAATGCTGGTATCTAGTGTAGGATATTTGTCTGATATTTTTGGTGAATCAAAACCAGGTAAGATTTTTCAGAGAAGGAATTGTGCCTTTTCACCTTTGTACTCTCATTGCCCAACACGGTGGTTGACACAAAGGAGATGTTAAGTGCCTTTTACCCAAGATCAAACAGCCAACGAAATTGCATCAGAACTTTAACCTGAGACTTCCAGACTCATTTAGATATCTTTTAACCTGCTATCTTATTTCCCATGGTTATGTTTTTTTAAATACTTTCTACCATCATTATAATCAGTACTAAAATATTCAAATTTGTGGTGGCATTTTGTTACTTGTATATGTTTTGATGGTCCATAATATTCATTACTAAAAGGAATTTGCCCATTTCAATGTTTCAGAAATGACAATTATGCCCAAATTTACTTTTCCTTCATTTTATACAAACACACACACATACACACACACACGTTCTTTAGATTTTTATGTATATACATTAACTGTTGTCTAGAAAATTTTATTTGAATGAGCAAAATGTGACTTAAAATTGGAAAAGAAAAACTAAATAGATATTGCGGAGATAGGGAAAAAATTGCTAATTTATAATGCAATAGCTTGTCTCAATCTAAAAAGATTGACTCAAAACTCCACTTCTGGGCCTCACGGGTGGCGCAGCAGTTCAGTGCTGGGTTGCGAAGCTGCCCACAGCCTCTGCAGCGCCGGTTCGATCCCCAGCTGCTCCCCGGCCACCAGAGGAGGGTCCCACATGGCCCGCAGACCTCTCCTGCTGCCCGCTGCTCCCCTCAGCAGTGTACTTCGGTCCTTCTGCCTGCTCTGCTCCCCGCTCTGGCTCGGTGAATTCTCTCACCCTCCCGCGCTTCTGACTGTACCCAGTGCTTATATAAATAAATAAATCTTTAAAAAAAATAAAAAAAAACAAAACTCCATTTCTGCATAACAAAACATGACAAAAAAACATTTAAACTTTGTGCCTTGTGCTGAGATATGTTCCTTGTTCATGTGCAATTTGATATTTGCATAATAACTGTTAAATCTCTGCTGTAACTGTGAATTTCTCATCAGGGAATGAATTAAAACTGAATTCCCAATTTCCCTACCCAAAGACCCACCCTAATTTATTCATATATCCATTTCTCAAGGTCATATTAAACAGATTCCTTCTACAGGTCTCAAGCACAAGGGGGTAAATTCCATGGTTTCAAATTCCTTACTAGTCAGGATTAAGGTTAAAGAGTTTTATTTTGCAGCAGGGACCTTTCTTGCTGGAGACTGTGTGCACCAGCAGAAGGCTCACCAAGGAGACAGAGGTAAGCTGGGAGGCTTGCTCATGCTGGGCGCCTTCTAGCCTGCAGTTCCAGCCCAGAGGGGAGCAGCACCCACCGCTGGGGCAGACCGGGTGTGCAGGGGAGCTCGTTCCCGCATCGCCATTTTGCAGCAGGGACCTTTCTTGCTGGAGACTGTGTGAACCAGCAGAAGGCTCACCAAGGAGACAGAGGTAAGCTGGGAGGCTTGCCCATGCTGGGCGCCTTCTAGCCTGCAGTTCCAGTCCAGAGGGGAGCAGCACCCACCGCTGGGGCAGACCGGGCATGCAGGGGAGCGCGTCGCCGGCACCGGTATTTTGCAGCAGGGACCCTTCTTGCTGGAGACTGTGTGAACCCAGCAGAAGGCTCACCGAGGAGACAGAGGTTAAGCTGGGAGGCTTGCCCACACCGGGCACCTTCTAGCCTGCAGTTCCAGCCCAGAGGGGAGCAGCACCCACCGCTGGGGCAGACCGGGCGTGCAGGGGAGCTCGTTCCCGCATCGCCATTTTGCAGCAGGGACCTTTCTTGCTGGAGACTGTGTGAACCAGCAGAAGGCTCACCAAGGAGACAGAGGTAAGCTGGGAGGCTTGCCCATGCTGGGCGCCTTCTAGCCTGCAGTTCCAGCCCAGAGGGGAGCAGCACCCACCGCTGGGGCAGACCGGGCGTGCAGGGGAGCGCGTCGCCGGCACCGGTATTTTGCAGCAGGGACCCTTCTTGCTGGAGACTGTGTGAACCCAGCAGAAGGCTCACCAAGGAGACAGAGGTTAAGCTGGGAGGCTTGCCCACACCGGGCACCTTCTAGCCTGCAGTTCCAGCCCAGAGGGGAGCAGCACCCACCGCTGGGACAGACCGGGCGTGCAGGGGAGCTCGTTCCCGCATCGCCATTTTGCAGCAGGGATCTTTCTTGCTGGAGACTGTGTGAACCAGCAGAAGGCTCACCAAGGAGACAGAGGTAAGCTGGGAGGCTTGCCCATGCTGGGCGCCTTCTAGCCTGCAGTTCCAGCCCAGAGGGGAGCAGCACCCACCGCTGGGGCAGACCGGGCGTGCAGGGGAGCGCGTTGCCGGCACCGGCATTTTGCAGCAGGGACCCTTCTTGCTGGAGACTGTGTGAACCCAGCAGAAGGCTCACCGAGGAGACAGAGGTTAAGCTGGGAGGCTTGCCCACACCGGGCACCTTCTAGCCTGCAGTTCCAGCCCAGAGGAGTGCAACACCCACCGCTGGGGCAGACTGGGCGTGCAGGGGAGCGTGTCCCCGGCTCTGGCATTTTGCAGCAGGGACCCTTCTTGCTGGAGACTGTGTGAACCCAGCAGAAGGCTCACCGAGGAGACAGAGCAGGGACCTGTCTTTGCTGGAGACTTGTGAACCCAGCAGAAGTTCCCCAGAGGAGCCAGTGGTGAGCTGGGAAGGTCGCCCAAGATGCCGGCCAGTACCAGCAACACAGTGTCACAAGGAATTCGGCAAATTAGAAAACAGGCAGTAGGGAGTAGAAAAACAACATGCAACCCAGCAACTCCTCAGCAAAATAGCACACCACAAAAAGAAAACCATCTACCAGATTGCAACGACAGTAACTTGGAAGAACTTCTGAGCCTTCCAGATAGAGAATTTAAAATTGCTGTGATTAAAAAACTGACAGAAGTCATAAAGGAAAACAATGATAAGGGGAAATAATTAATGACCAGAAGAATGAAATTGAGTCCCTAAAGAGGGAAGTAAAAGAAATGCAGGAGATCAAAGAACTAATGGAGACGCTAAAGAACTCTGGGAAAAGCAGTGAAAGCAGAATAGATGAAATGGAAGAACGAATAAGTACTCTTGAAGACACAGAAATAAAAAGAACTAAAACAGAAAAGGAAGGAGAAGTACGAAGGAAAAAGAACGAAGAAAGACTTCGGGAACTATCTGACTCCATGAGGAAAGGAAATATAAGAGTTATAGGAATCCCAGAAGGAGAGGAGAGAGATGTAGGAACAGAGAAAATATTCATGGATATAATTGAAGAGAACTTCCCAAACGCTAAGAAGGATCTGAAAATTGATATACAAGAAGCAAGAAGAACACCAAACTTCCATGACAAAAGGAAAAATACAGCAAGACACATAATAGTAAAGCTCCCAAGAATCCAAGACAAAGAAAAAATAATGAAACTAACAAGAGGGAAGAAACAGATAACATTCAAAGGGAAACCAATCAGACTGACATCAGACTTCTCTGAAGAAACACTACGGGCAAGGAGAGAGTGGAGGGACATAGTCAACAGACTCCAAGAAAACAGATGCCAACCAAGAATACTCTATCCCTCAAAGCTCTCCTTCCTCTTTGAAGAAAGAATATGGACCTTCCCAGACAAACAGAAACTCCGGAATTTCATTGCAACTAAACCCCCACTCCAAAAAATACTACAAGGAGTCCTAAAGCCAGAACCTCAGAGGGACGAATAACAAGAAAAGAAGGCCAAAGAAAGTTATTAAAAGAATAAATAAATAAAATCAAAGGAAAGACAAACACAATGGCAAATACAGATGCTAACATATCAATACTAACTCTAAATGTAAATGGACTAAACTCTCCAATAAAAAGACACAGAGTTGCAGGCTGGATTAAGAAACAAAACCCAACCTTTTGCTGTCTCCAGGAAACACATTTAGCTGCAAAAGATAAAAATAGACTCAAAGTTAAAGGATGGAAAACAATTCTACAAGCAAATGGACCAAAAAAGAAGGCAGGAACAGCTATACTCATATCAGATAAAACAGATTTCAAACTTAAAAAGATAAAAAGAGACCCCAATGGTCATTACATTGTGATCAAGGGGATAATACTTCAAGAAGAAATAACACTCATTAACATATATTCACCAAACAAAGGAGCACCAAAATATATCAGACAACTATTGGCATCTCTGAAAACAGACATCAGAGAAAACACATACGTAGTGGGAGACTTCAACACACCACTATCAACAATGGATAGATCAACAAGACAAAAAATAAGTAAAGACACTAAAGCTCTAAATAAGGATCTAGAGTGCTTAGGCTTAACAGACATATATAGAACACTAAACCCAAAAAAATCTGAGTATACATTTTTCTCAAGCGCACACGGATCATTCTCTAGGATCGATCATATACTGGGGCACAAGACAAACATCAACAGATACACCAAGATTGAAATCATACCAACCATCTTTTCTGACCATGAAGGCATCAAAATAGAAATAAACCATAAAGAGAAGGCAAGGTATTCTCCTACCTCGTGGAGATTGAAACCCACACTACTGGAAGTCCACTGGACTAACAAGGAGATAAAAGAAGAAATTAAAAAATTCTTTGAACTGAATGACAAGGAGGACACCAATTTCCTAAATGTATGGGATGCAGCAAAAGCAGTAATAAGAGGAAAATATATAGCAATAGATGCTCACATCAAGAAACAAGAAAGAACTCAAAGAAACAACCTAATCTCGAAACTCAAAGATCTAGAAAAAGAACAACAAAAAAGCCCCAAAACCAGTAGAAGAAAAGAAATAATAAAAACCAAA